TTTTGTCTAAAAGCATCTTCAACTGCTTTCCTAGTCTCATTTCTGCCTTTTTGGGATAGAACTGAAAACCCTGGAAAGGAGAAAAGAAAAATCTGGATGCAAGTCCTAGTCTTGCAACAGTTCAACAGTTCTGTTGTAGCAGTGGAAAGGTGGCATCATGCCTCTGGGGAACAGCACTTGGCTCAGATTTCCTCTAAACCACTTTCTTTCCTCATGAGACACCGTGTCCTCTCTATTTTCCTGTAGATTCAGCATGCACTGAGCATGACCATCTTCCCATTTTAGTCTAAGCTGGAGCTTTGGTTGTCAAATGAGATGTACTTGTTTTTTTACATATGCAAAAAACACAACATGCACTTGTTTTTTTACATATGAATTTCCACCTTCAATTTAAAACTGGAATAGAACTACTTATACATGCTTACACACCAAAGCTCTCCCTAAAAGTGTCTAGTTTTAAACAAATTACTGACACTAAGTCTATATTTGGGAGGCTTTTTTTTTCAGAGGAAGCAAACAAAAGGAGTGAAGAGTTGTGGGTTTTTTTTGCTTCCCGTTAATATATGGGGTAGAAATGATAGGTAAAAAAAGTTAGCAGATTTAAAGAATGCTTGCTAGTGCCTGTGCCAGATGCTGATAGCTATAAATAGCCACTTGAACAAGAATGACTGCAGGGAATATCTTATCCAGGCAAATAGGAATTTGTCGAGTAAGATCAGGGCAAAAATGGAAAAAAAAAACCAAAAACAACTCAACATTTTACATTACTTCCGCTGCAGAGGAAGTTGTCTTAGTACTCCATGAAGTGGAATAAGAACATGTCCTCAGGATGACCTTATGTAAATGTCACCTAAATATGTTACCAAATTTAACAGAACCAAATCTATCTTTTTTACCATTAGACTGCTAGTCACTCATGAGTACAACCTCAATTTCCTTGCTCCATAACCCTTAGAGAAGTAAGCAAAGGACAATACATAAGGCTACTTCAATGTGATAATAAAGCAGCATGCAGCCTATGAGATGAAATTCTAAAACAGACCTCCGGTGTAAAAACCATGATTTGCTATCTTACATTTTTCTTATTGTCTCACTCAACAAAATTTTTGAAAAGAAAGACTCTTGACTTTCCTGACACTTTTCCTTTATACTTTGGATTCAAACTTGTCTTCCCTTATATCCACTATAGTGGGGTTTTAAAACCTACAGCAATATAATTCCTAAGTATTTCAAAATGTGAAACATCAGTACTTGAGATGACAAGCTATCATTTCTACAGAGCAGTATGACAAGTTTGGAAGGACCAGGAGGTTGGATATGGATTCTAATTAACACTGATGAGCCTGGCTCCTCAGGATTAAATTCCCAAATAAGTAACCGCTACTTTTCCACACACAGGTCTGTGCAAGTTATTCTCATTGAAACAATTTAAAAAAAAAAAAAAACAAAACCAAAACCAAGTAAGCTTCAGTCTGTGTCAAGATATTGGAGGCTTTCAAAACCTGATTAAGAACATTAAATGAGGTATTGAACTACATTAGAAATCAACCTTCTTCACGTATTGAAATGTAATGGTCTATAATTTGTATTCGAGTGATTTTATTTCTGGTGAATAATAACTGTACCGCAGCCAACTTTGTGCCCTGTTTCTCTGAAAACCTCAAGGGAGGTACAAAAGAGGATTTTGTATCCTGCTGAAGACACACACACTTTGTGTGACATCTGCTTCTTCAGTTTTTACAGGAAGGTGAACTTTGTTTCATTGTGCATTTATTTTTTCACTGATGGTTCCTTCAAACTGATAAACACAAATGAAAGCACATCAGTGTTAGCTGTACTGGTGGACTCTGGAAAGTCCTATAACCTAAATGCAAGTGCATGGAAACAGAGGACTCAGCTTGAACGCATTAGTAGGTGGACTTGCAAATCAGGAGATTTATAACAATATATGCTTGTTTCCTGGTTTTCTCTGTGGAATTTGAAGTTTCCTATAGTCACATGATGTTGAAAATAAAAAAAACCACACACAGAGAAGCGCTTGTCATTCCATGTGCCTCAGATTTGCAGCAGTTGGGGAAATGGTCATTTCTCACTGTTGTCAGCTGGGGCTGACTGGCTGGCTGTCAGCTCTTCAGGGAACGACCCGGGGATCCCGGTAGACAAGCTGATCCTGAGCCAGCAACACCTCACAATGCTGTCTACACTAACCCCCAGAGCACACTGCCTTCCCTACCTAGCCCATTTCAGCCACACACCTTTTATGTCAGCAGACATAAAGCTTCATTCCACCACCTGCGCTCCAGATACCCTATACCCAAGTTCTCTGTCCCTCTCCTGCTTCTCATATTCTCTTGGCTGCTGTTAGGCAGCTTTTCTGCCACTCTCATTCTTATTTCCATACAGCTTCCCTGACACTGTTGTCAGCCTGCTTTCCTTCATAATCATTCTGTATGGCATCGCTACTCTTCCCACAGCCACTATGTATGCAAGGTCATTCTTGGCCATCACCTTTAGCCCCACTCTGAACAAGAGAGGCCCTATTTGCTTGCAAACGTTCACAGGACCATGACAGCTTTTCTGCTGAGAGCAATGTAAAACTTCTGTCCCTAATAGGGAACAGTGAGCATTTGATGCAAAGGAGAAGTTTGAGAGCGCACATGGAAATTCTTACGAAACTGTACTAAGTGATGTATGATACAAATAACAAGAATGGAAAAATATTTTGAAATAAAAAGAAGTATGATTGAAAATTAAAAGGAGGGTGGATTAAGCAACACTGACTGAGAAAACTTTCAGTCTTGGTCAATATTTATCCCTGTAGCACTACCAGTGGGTTACCAGTTTCATCTTCTGTCACTGGGGATGGAAAATGTTAGAACAAAGGAAATGTCAGGATAAAGGAAAAAAAAAATCTGGGCACTTTATCACCAGGACTCTCAGTCCTCCAACACAAGATCTAAACATTGTCTTTCATTAGCTCCAGTTTCAAACCCAAACACCTATAGTACCTACTATTTTTCTTCAGAGTAATTTGTCCATTTTTTTTTCATTGTTTGGCTCTTTTTTAATTTACCAGAAAATAGTTTTAGTTCACCTCCTTCAGCTTCAGTTAAATGTTTATATTATGTTATCAAATACTGTTTCATTAATACTTCATCCCATAAAATCTGTGAGAAGTTGGTAAACCCCTCAGTAGCTACTCTGCAGTCCACTCTGTCCTACCACAGCTTACGTTGCCATCAGTATCTAAGCAAACTGGTTTAATGAAATCTCAAAACCATTTACACTACATGTCTAGAAACTGTATTATAAATTTAGCCATATGTGTTGGCATGGATTACATACAACAAATGAAAGTTTTCTTTCCTAAGGTAGGCAAATTTGGAATGCAAATGGTAAATCCTGAATTTCAGACAAACAAATGATTGCCTATCAAAACTCCTTCCCAAACTAGTCCTTAGAGTACTGCATACATGTAAAGGTGGAAAATCTGAAAGATCCAGACAATTGCCACAGGCATCTTTAGTTGTAATGATACTTCCCACTTGCAGATAGAAGCACAAGAAAGAGGTAATAATAGCTAAATGGATATTAGAATCTGCCATTACCTGATCTATCTGCACAATTACAGCAGTATGTGAATGCTAAATTGCTTATCAAATCTGGCTTAAGAGCCTGAAACAACCCCTTTTCAGGAACAACATGTCACCTATGTGTTGTTTGGAACTGATGGAACTTTTCTGTAGAGAGTACCACAAGGGTATAACGCCTAAAATTGCGAAGAGAATTAATTGCTTCCAGAGAGATTTCCTTCCCAAGCTGAACCAAAGGGGGAATACAACACTCAACTCCGTTTCTGAAAAACAGGCATTAAGAGGCCACAGAACTCCCCCAAAATTAGATTTTTCCTCTCCTTTAACATTGCCAGAAACAAAAATGTTAAGACTAAAAACATCTCAAGACACATCACAGTTGTCAAATCAGAGTAAACAATCATTGTCTCTGCTCTGAGAAAGTCACAGTGATTCAGCCGAATAGAGTCATTTAGTCTTATTATTACTATAAATTAAGTCATGGGAGCTCTACTGATTTGCACGAGGAGATGATATGACTAACTTTGTATTGGCAAACAGGCTTCTGAATGCACCCCAGAAAAAATTAAAAACCACTCTTTATTCTGCCAAAACCAACTATTTCCTCTCCATCTAAAAGGATCAAACAGGAAATCACAGACTATATAAGTGATAAAGCAAGGTGTCCCACTGGCATAAATAGAATGTGAAGTAAATTAACATAAAATAAGTCCAAGCAGAAATCTTTCGTATCTACTGCTGATAACGGAAATGCTATCTAGAGGCTTTTTCAGGTATGTTCTCATACTTGTAGCATGGCTGAGTTTCTACAGATGGTGACTCTTCAGAAGCAGACTTCAATCTTCAGAAATTGATTTGAAACAGAAACAGATACTATGAACTAAATCCAGAGTCACATTGCTGCATTCTCATCTATTCCACAAATTTCATATTAAGCAATTTATTTAGATTGCAAAACTATTTTGACATCATGAGGGTGGCAGAACTACTTCTGATCACAAGCATTTCATTTAATCATTGCCAAAGAGAAAGACGGTAAAGAAATATGAACAGATAGAAGTAATTCACCTGCTTAGCAGCAAAACAAAAAGGGAATTAAAAATATCCAGACTTTATATGCAGACACTCAGGAAAAACTCAGTGAAACAATTTATACTATTAGATATAGAAAATGCGCCATTGTAGGAGGTTTTGTGGTCCTGAAGACAGTGGGCATTTCATTGCTGAGACACATTTATAGTACTGAGAGACTGCTATTTGCATTAAGCTATGTCAATATTTAAAAAGGAAATTCAACATGCAAACCAATATGTTAAAAATGTGTAAAGAGACAGGGGCAATTTGCAGTTTTAAAGCACTGTCCATCCATCCAAAGGCATAAGTCATAGAAAGCATAAAACCACTTACCCCTTCTTGCTTAGGAATGTTGCACTTGGCTGTTTTTGACTTGGTCCTGGCTGAATCAGGCTTGTTAGAAGGCACTCCCCTATACGACTTGGTTGTCTCTGCTTGTAACTTCAGCTTTGGAGACTCATCAGGAGCCTGATCTTGACCGTCCATTGGCCTTACATAAGCTGTTGGTTTCTGCTGAACCAGACTGGGCTTTGAAGCAAGAGAGGGTGGGAAGTTTTGGACGCAGTGGCCGCCACCATGTTTTGCTGGCCTTTCTTGCACTTGAGCTCCTCCTTCTGAGCTACAATTGAGCTTTGCTGGCTGCTGCAACCTGTTGACGTTGTCTCCTAGTGTGGCCCTCAGTGAGCTTTGCTGGGAAGCATTGGAGGAGGAGGAGGAGGAAGTGGGACTCGATGCATAGCGTTTTAGTTTATCCAGACTGGATTTTGGGTTCGCAAGTTTGAAGTCACTCTTGTGTGACTCCAGCGACCGGTGCCCATGCTTGCTTCCTCTCTGCTGGCCATCTGAAGGGGCACTGTGCCCAGCCTTCTGCCAACCCATTGTGGTGCTTTTGCTTTGCTGGGCAGATAGGACTGCTGGTGTGGAAGAAGTAGTGCTGGAAATGGGAGGAGGAGGCGGCGGTCTCGAGTCTGCCGTAAGATGTTCATCAGGCTTGGGGAGAGACATCTGAGGAATCCCAGATTTTGGAACCCCAACAAGGTGGCTCTGGTTTGATCGGTCAGTTAACAAGTCTTTCATTTCATCATAGTTGCCCAGTGTATTCTGGATGCGATTCGAGAGCTCATCCCCCTTGTTAGTCTGCAAAACAAAAAGTGAGTGTTCTGCAACTGTCAACGTAAGAAAACCAAAATTCCCTGCATGCTTTTGCTCAAATCCTTACTGAAGTAGCACTGCCTGATTCAGCAGCGGCGTTCAGGGATGAAATCGAAAATCCTTATTGTCTCTGAAGACACTTGTCAACATCTTAAATCTACTCTGAACTGGAAAAGCTATAAAGGGCCTTAGAGTTTATAAAAAAAGAAATCTATCACTGGTATCATGCTGTAGTTAAAGTATATTACCTGGAAACTAGAAAATTTATTATTGCAACTACACAGAATGGTTTGGATTAAATCTGACCACTATAAAACTTTTCCTACAGCCCAGTGCAGGCTCTCCTTCAGCCAGGAATGAAAACACTGCCTTCCCAATTTCCTTCTCTGCCTGCGTAAGTTTTCACATGGCATCTGGGAAGGCACACAGCATCCAGTGTAATCACTGAATGAACTTACCAGTCTAAACCAACCAAATACTCTGAGGCAACTTGAAGACAGCTCATGGGACAATGGGAAAACTACAGACGATTACGTCCCTTCTTTGAAAATACTCTGACAGGATGTCTCCAGGGCACTCTCCTTTTTTTTAAGAAAATAGGTGAACAGAACTCCCCAAATTCTTCACATTGCTTAGTGCTTTCTATGTGCAGCAGAGGGAAAACAGCCACCCTCCTGCCCCTTTAAAAATAATCATTATCTTTAAAATCATCCGTCCTGAATGAAAAGGCAGAAATCCACAAAGAAATAAAACAAGCAAATAAAACATACTGGAAAAGATTGAAAACTCTTGCTCTAAAAAGCCACTGTAAGCAAAAGGGTGTATCATTAGTATTTATGCAGCAGAGATTTTTCTGAACCCTGCCAAGTTTCAGGTGTGTGATGTCTTTCACTTTATGTTTTCAGAGGAAGACAGTAAAGAGAGCCAGTGGTGCTCTCCTTTCTCTCTTCCAGACATGGGGTTGGGAAAGGAAAACTCCTATTTGCTTCAGAAGACAAAGCTTTCATCTTAAGACTCGCTGTTTTAGAGGAAAACAAAAAGAAGGAAAAAGAAGGAAGTAAAGGGAGTGGAGAAGACTCCCTTAAAGTTATAGGAAGAATATGAAAGATGCAGCAGTAACATCAGTTGCTCTGGAAAATTGGTAGATTTTGAGGGGGTTTAAGCCTTCAAATAAAATTGAGTCACTCAAACAAAAATATAAGGCAAACTCCTCTAGTTCAGAATCTTCTTTTTTTAGAGATGCCTGTAAAAGAACCCCAATTGAATCCAAAAGAAAATGCCCTATCGATGAGTACAGCGATTGCCACACGCTACCTTTCAGAGGACTACAGGTGAAGCATTCCTTAGTCAGACAATAGAAGCAGTCCTATCTTGCTTGGAACTTGCCCACCCTCAATTTCAAGGACACTACCTTGTAAATACGTATAATACATTGCAGCTAGCTTTTCGATATGCATTTGTTACAATGCTAGAATTACATATATATCAAGAATGTATATTGGATGGAAGCAGAAAGGGAAAAGCTCAGAAGTGTTGCACCCGCAACACTGCTTTGCAAACTTGGAATAAGATGGCTTAACCACTACAGCCTGATCTTCTTTCTGCATATGCAGCTGCTATTTTCACAAGGACAATAACCTGCTATGAAAAGAAATATTAAACATTAATTCACAGACAGCAAATGGTTTTAAAAAAGGGCGTTCCTTCACTTCACAGGAATCACGCCAATTTCCTGAAGAAGAAACCATTAAAAATGCTTCGAAAGTGGGAAGCATCACGTCTGGAAACAAAGAAGGTGGGAGATAAACTCGTGTGTCTCCTGGGATCAATGAAATGGTTTCTACACTTGGGCATCTCCTTAACCAGCAGACTTATTTTCCAGAAAGCACAGAAAAATTTCATTTTATCCAGTGGATCTATTCTGTGATTCTGGTGGATCCTCAATCTCATGTAGATAACTTGCAGAGAGATCTTTTTCTATTTTCCCTCTATGGAGGGAGATCTGCCCTTGGGCACTCAGTTTGATTCAGCAAGCATGTGTATGAGGTTTCTTTCCCTGCTGGGAGCATGATGACAAGAACTACCAAATTGAATGGTGCCCCCTACAACTGCAAGTCTCCTACAGCACAGACAGTTTGTAGGGCAGCTCTCCACCCATGTTCTTCTAGGTCCATGAACATAAAAGTATTTATGTGAAAGTTTTCCCCCTCGGAAGTCCAACTTCCCTAACAGAAGGCCCATTCTTTCTGAAGGCTGCTATTTGGATGGGAAGGAAATAAAAGCCTAATGGCAGATTATCTGTAGACTATCACCAGCCCAGAAATGTCAGCATGTTTCCTCCTATATGGTTGTGATGTGAGGCTTACACAGAGACACCTCATATTGACAGATCTCAGATAACCACAAGCAGCAAACTGATCTAATGCTGGTACTACAGCACATGCTGACAACCAGTTGGTGTTGTTTATTCCTTCTGGATACACTGGGGACAACTTGAGATGGGAAGATTTTGTGCTGAGCTGATCTCATCCAGAAGAGTTCACCTACCTCCTCATGGGAACAAGACAGAATCTGAGGTAACTAGTTATATGCTTTAGATGTAACAGTTTGTCCTATTATTTGCACTGAAGTATTGCTGGCCTTACTTGATCATTCAGTTAGGGAAAACATGATCACAAAATGAGTAAGTAAGAAAAGCATTTTGTGCAAACATTTCTAACTTACGGTGCTCTGACATTCTTCTGCAAGATGAATCCATGCATTTGAAGACTGAAAGATCCAGCACTTCTAAAAATAAACTGATGGTAGCATGGAAGGCCATCAGATTTTTTTCTTCCTTAAAAATACTGATACGGTTAATGAGGCAAGGTGTTCTGTCCAGGAAATATCCAGGCCTAATTCCCTACTTTTTCACCCCCTTTAAAAGACATTTTAAGTGAAAGATACTGGATTTCCCGTAATCCTTCATAAAAGGTTGCTATGGCTACTTTGAACAGGATACAGGGCAACCCAAAGAGTCAGGATTTTTCAAAAATCTGATGTTACAGGAGTAGTGGTACATGTCAAGGTGAGAGAGGACATCAGATTTAAGAGATTTCCAGTATGCCTTTGATTTTCAGATATGGCCTTCAGAGTGCAAATCCTTTGGCTTTACCTCCCTTTCTCAAGTTGCGCAGAGGAACACTGAATTTAATCAGATCTTGCAGTGAATGTCTGCTGTAACTTCATTCCCTTCTGGAAAAATCCAAAGCCTGAACATGCTCTTTAAAGACAGTAAGAGTGTGTTTCAGTTTTGCTTTTGCAGAAAGGTTTCCTCTTTTGCAGTTAGCCTCTCTCCATGGTAAATCAAAATGTCCATGTCACAGCTCTGTACCCCCACACTGGAGGTTCATAACTGTTTTGGATAAGTTCAGGCTGCCCAATGGTCCACTGCCAGTGTAGACATGACATTCAATATCCACTTTGCTTCTAGAGTTGGTAATGATTTTTCATCCACTCCTATTAAAGCTGATGGAATTATACTGTAGTTGCATAGAAGTGCCTTCAGACACCATTGCTCAGAAACTACTGGCATGTTTATGATACATGCAGTCTGTGCCACGACGATCAGTACACTGGCACACAGGTAATAATCAAAGTTTACAAAATATTGCAACTATACCACTCCTAAAAGCGATTTGAGTTTCTGTATTACCAATGGAGGTACCACAGACATGATGGTATCAGGGACCTAGAAAAATGACAGGCCCTGCTTTGAGAGGTCTATTTAATTGAACCTACCAAATGGAAAACTATGAAGTCCCCATTGCAGCAGAGTCCTCACAAGATGACAAGATGCAACTGACTTAAGCTTTTCAGGCCTTTTTTCATCGGTTAGCCCTAAACTAGTCTCAAAGTAGATTTTTCAAGTCAAGTCTTGAAGAGTTCAGGACATTTGCCATGGATTCTAAATGCCTCTGTAATGAATCTGAAATTCGGGCAGCTGGAGGTCAGCTTTGTGTCTTCCATTAAGGGACATGGTTTGAAAGTGGTTGATCTTTTTTATTAGAGACTAGAAAAAAACAGCAACCTGAAAGAACAGCAAGCTACAGGATGACGCTGGAGCACAGGCAGAAACTCAGAAGCGTGGAAGCCTGGTGTTGAAGCTAAGTGCCAAATCCCAGATAGGACTCCTGAAAAGAGGCACTAAAGCACCCGGAACATCAAAGACAAGTGATGTTGTATGGAGGAAAGGGTTTCACAAGGTGGTGGTTTTAACAGTAACTTGGACATTTCTGGAAGGGCAGAGCACAGGATACATGATGATGCTTTGATGAAGGCAGGCAGAGGCACTGTGTTAGCTGGGGAGGGGAGCAGCCCCCATAGGATACCTTTTCACAAAGGCTTGGTTGAAAAAGGTGAACGCCAAGATATTTCACTGCATTAACCTTGGCCAGAGCATAATTCTTACTGTTGACCTTCACACAGAACTTAAACACACTTGTTTTCAAAGTGTTGCAAAAACAGGCCACCGTCACCTTCATCTCCTAGTTTAAATTCCATCTCAAATATTGTTAGGATATTTATAGTTTATTTCATTCTCGTGTGCTGCTGAACATTCTAAGAAGTTTATATATATCTGTATACACACCCACACAAAATCCAGTTCTCAATGAACCATAAACGTTCTCTGTGAATTTTGTGAGGCTAGCACTTGTGGGACAGTGCTGAAACCTGGAAAACACCTTCTGCAGGCTGCATTTTTGTACTGTGGAATAAATGAATAAACAAAGAGCCACCCAGCTGGGAAGCATCTACCTTGTATGGTTCACTGAAGAGGGAGTAACTCGTGTTAAATGCTCCATCCTCCTGCTGGGCCTCCTGATTTCTCCTTTCCCATTCTTTCCTTCGCAGCACATTTCTATCTGGCTCATAGACACTGCAGCAAAAGAGAGGAATAGCTTTTTAAGAGTTAAAAATTATTGGGCAACATATAAAGCAACATGAATTTAAAAGTGAAGAACTCTGGTTTGAAGACAGATGGCAAAAATAAGTAAGAACATGAATACCAGTCCAAGCAGGCTGGGAAGGCTCAGGTCTCTGGGAATGCTGGTGCTTTCTTCACACAGAGAATAGATAATTAAATTCTTACAGAAGAATAAGAAAGAACTCACAGGGCAGCATCTAGTCTGTGCAGAAATGTGACACAGGATATGTCTAAGCAACTTGAGAAAGACTGAAGGTACTCTTAAGGCAGATGGTAATTACAGCTATGAGTAAATAGAAATTATGAACATATTTCCACTTATGACATATCCTCTGAGTGTTGTATGAGAATGCTCCTTTTTTTCACATGGATGTGTTTCTGTAGTGATTCTTTCATTAACTAGCTCCCTAAAGAGCTGTTAAAACTACATGCTGTAGTGGTTTCCACAGTTAGGCTGCTTCTTCTGATCTCTGTTAATCAGCCAAGTCGTGAAACTACTACTGAAACAATTCCTCTTTCTGATGGATTTGACACTATCACAATGTCAGAACATGAATAAATGAATACTGGCATGATAGTGTATGTATGGATGGTAGAGTGTAGCTGAAGGAAGAATAAAATCACTGCTTTACAAAGTGGTATTAATTTTCAGAAATTAACTAGCTTGCCTCCAATACAGACATCCAGAATAAATTAAAAAAACCCTATTTTTTTCCCCCCAGAATTCTGGTTTAATGCATGACAACATAAACCAGAGAATCCTTTCCATGAATTGCCACAGAACAACACAGGTTTACGCATTTCAGCCTGCTCTATTTTATTCCCCTCACAAAGGAAACCAATGTATTTAATCAGGTCTACATGTTATTTCAGGACAGTATGACGAGTATGCTGATTGCCTGTTTTGCTTAGCTTAGCTAATGTCTTTCTCCTGGCACTGTAAATCTGTAAAGTAGAAATATATATTAATGTCATGTAAGTGCACCATGTGCTAATAAGAAAAAGGTTCTCTTGCTAACCAGCTTCCCAGATAGTAAAACATATGTTGCATCAGCTACCCATGTGACGTTACCTAGTATGCCTCAGGCAAGGCAGTCAAAAGGCCAACAGCTATCTGATTCTAATTCAAGGCTTGAGAAAGCTGAAGATACATAGGATATGCTAGATGCTATTAGTATTTAAAAACAATGCCTTAGCAGTCACCAAAAGAACATAAAATCTTGTTTACTTGTTTGTGTTGCTAACTCGAACTGGACTGTGGAGTATCTTTCTGATAGGTCTGAGGACATCTAAAGGTAGATGCCAGACACCAAGCAGGGCCCTTAAACATGGGGGCTTATTGTGAAACACAGGGTTTCAGTACAGCACGTTGGAGGCAGCTTCCAACCACCAGTTTGTTTATTCCAATTACAGGCTGAGTTTCTGGGGGGTTTATCCCATCTTGTTATTCACGTGTTATGCATGCTATTTACACCAACACCTCTCTTTGGAAAATGGTGTAATGAGAAGGCAATGGAAGGGGTGGAGTTTTGGGCAAGGAAAATGCCTTTCTCCAGGAAGAAGGGGATAGAAAAGGCTTCTCCATAGGGTCCCAGTGAGTGGAGATCATCTACTGCACACACTGCAGAGGCCAGAGGAAGAGCAGCTGTCATTTACTGCTGTGAGAGCAATGGTCTTCACCTAGTACATCATGCTACCTGAGCATACTCCCATCAGTTAGGCCAGGGTAAAAGACTTCCTAACATCAATCTCTGTGTCTAAAGTAGACTTTCTGCCATGCTGGATAGCTATTGTTTGGTTAGGGTTTTGGGGAGTTGCCGTGTTTCCTTCTCCAGAATCTCTTGACTCTTTGAGATGCTTTAAATTTGGACTCTGAAAACAAAGAGAAATGCAGCCTGCAGACAAAGAGAAATGGGCAGCTCCCCTGAGATTAATTATAATATAATGATCTCTACCTGGTTTCTAGGAAGTAAACAAGAGCAACATTCTTCACTAGACCTCATACAAACTTGAAAATGCACTGGCGTGATACTTCTGAAGTGGAAGAACATTTGAATCCCTTTAGTTATTTGGTGGAGGCATAATTGATGAAGACATATAAGTCATCAGATCTCTGAGCCCCCTTCCCGAATGAGATGTTCACTGTTGCTAATGCTATGCACAACCTGCAATAATTCAGAATGATTATGCAAATGGAAAAAACATGTGATGATCTCTAATATGCCATCTATAAGCAGTAAGTTAGAAAGAGCTACAAGTCGAGAGTTGCATTCCTGTGGTAATACCAGATGGCAAAATCTCTCGCATTTGTAAGGCTGCTCCTTATTTGCATGAACATTGCAACAATCACATTTCCTTGAACGTATGTCACCAAATGTATTTATTTATTTTGGTTCAAGGAGAATACTGCCAACTGCTATAATTGTCTTTATTGCAAACACTGCAGTTAATGGAAAATGATTCTTTTTAATAGCTTTCTTCTTTCTTTTTTTTTAAATTTGCAAATTAAAACAATCCCAAAAGTGTACACACATTTTTAATCACTTACAGTGTGTGTCTTTTCCATAGCTAAACCATCAAGAACAAGTTTGTGGAAACCTCAAGATTTTTTTCCTCACTGGTTTACGCGGGTGGGTGCGCATGTGGGTGACGTATTCATATATGTTATATACACATTCACACATCCATTTATTGATGATAAGTTTTTCTAGCATGGGTGTAAATGTTGAAGCAGTTTTGCAAGACTTAGAAACCAAAGAACAGGCAGCCGTTCATCTTTCAGAAATCAGTGTCATTTACATTTGTTTTATACAGGTCAGACTCCAAAAAGATTAATTTGAACAGTTTTACAATGGTATATTTTTATTTTTAGGATGCTGCATCTGTTTCAAATTCATGCTTAAAGAACATGAACTGAAGCATGAGTAACAAGTCAAACACTTGCAAAAGTTATGAATAAAAGTTGTATTATAAAAATTACACTATCCTGAATTTATCACACTGCTTTAAAACCACACTCTGATTTATTTCACCCCTAAGATCTGCCAAGAGACATACTGGACATACCAATGAATAATGTCACAGACTCAAAGCTCTTTCAGCGCTCCATCACTACCACTCAGTCACAGCAGCCCTGCCTTCTCTGCTTCTTTTAGGATACTTTGAACAATTTTACTTTCAGACATTTTACAGATCAGAATACCAATGGAGTGCCAAAGTTCTCAGAGTAGATATGTTTATTAAATTTCAGTTTGTTGTGGTGCCTGTTGGAAGATTACCTTGATGGGTACACAGTCTTTAGCCGTGTGCTAGGTACGTGTGGGTCCCCACGAGACAAGCTTGAAGAAACGCGTTAGATTCAGCTGGCATGGAGTTCATTTTCTTCAGAGTAGCTGGTTTGAGGCTATGTTTTGGATTTGTGCTGGAAATAGTGTTGATGACACAGGGATGGTCTTGTTATATGCAGAGCAGTGGTTTACACAGAGTCATGGCCCTTTCTGATCCTCACACCACACCACCAGTGAGTAGGCTGGGGATGCATAAGGAGCTGGGAGAGGATACAGCTGGGACAGCTGACCCCAACTGACCACAGCAATACCATACAGCATTATGCTCGGCATATAAAGTTGCATGAAGAAAGAAGGAGGTGACGTTTGGAGGTATGGTATTTGTCTTCCCAAGTAACTGTTACTCGTGACAGAGCCCTGCTGTCCTGGAGATGGCTGAAACCTGCCTGCAATGGGAAGAAGTGGATGAATTCCTTGTTTTTCTTTGCTTGTATGTGTGGCTTTTGCTTTACTTGTTAATCTGTCTTTATCTCAACTCTTGAGTTTTCACATTTTCACTCTTTCAATTCTTTCTCCTAGCCCACCAGGGGAAGGGAGCGAGCAAGCAGCTTTGTGAGGTTTAGTTGCTGGTTGAGGTTAAAGTACAAGAGGAGGAGAGCCCAGGCATACTGGTTCCTGATGAGGGGGTGGCTGCAGAACCAGCCTCCCCACAGTACTGACAGAAATGCATATAGCTTTCTTCATGTTACTCCTGACATCAGAAGGAATCGTTTCCTTCAGTCCTTAATTAGAAATAGACAGAGACGGCTCAGGGGACAGCATAGGAGCAGAGCAATAACCTTACCTGAAAAACCTGGGACTGGATTTAATCTCCTACAAAGTCCAAAGAGTTCTGGTGTCTTGGGCTAGGCTGAAAGCAATCATATAAAACCCTAAAGTTTAAAGTGTTGAAAAGTCTCCTTTTCTTACTTGTTTGTGAGTTGTTTTTTTTTAAGCACACCCTTTCTGACACAATTTACTCCCCGCACACATCACTACTTGGAACAAAAATAAAAAGGTCTAATCTTCATGATGAACTGCATGGAGACAATGCACCAACCTATTCTGTCCTTCAGTTTTAGAGGGTGTTTAGAGAACACCCAAGTGTGGCATTCAGAGGAAGGTGTCCTTTTCTCCCAACTAAAGCACTCCATCTTCACTGAGGAATTACACGCCTTCACAGATGTATGGTGTGCATTAATGATGATGCTTGACCTTTTCAGAAACCACAAAATCGCCACATCACTAAGGGGAAACTCAGGAAAGATACTGCTATTTTGCTACAAGATCACCATTCCTGTAACATCTTTGAGGCTGTATGAGGCACAGTAAGTAAATTGAGGGTAAGATTGCTGGTGCTCCTCTTGCATTGCATCAATATATTTTCTTGCAAAGGAAGAGGACAACGACTCTGGCTGCCCTGCCAGCATGACAGAGGAAAGCGTTACTGCGTGTATACACACACCTGGTGACAATTACTGAACTCATTATAGTCTGCAGTAACCTGCAATCTCGCCTCTGCCTTTCCAGGCCTTCCAATATCATTTTCCAGTCCAAAGATTTAGTTCATTATTTTCTGAATTGTGAAGGCTTTGCAACACCACCCCCCCCCACACACTCACCCCC